TAAAATTAGATAAGTAATTCGCGACAATGGTGCTGCTTTGTTTCCCAGAACCCTCCTAGATACATTGTAAATAACACTTTGAACTGCGACTAAACCCCTGAGTCTTTCATCAACTCGTTCAGCGCGTTGGCGACAACGTCTAGTCCTTCCAGCTGCAGGGGGGCGGTGTTGCCTTCCATGTGGATCAGCTCGATGAGGAGTGAGTCCCTTTCGTTGGCAATAGCTGTCTGTGTATATGGCCAGTAGAAAAATTAGATTTGTCTCGCTGGATGAAGGTGTCTAATTAGTATGTTTTTACTGACCCTTGTAAGAGGTTTTGCCAGTGAATTCCCATTGAAGTGTCTTAGTAAGTGGGCGACACACAGGACACTCTCGGCCCTGCGAACAAATCGCATTGTCGAAAAGGAAAGGTTTTGGCTATCAGGGCAGAATACCAGTACACCATATTGACAAGAAAACTGATGAAAGCAAGTGCATGAAGTATTTTTGGATTCGGTACGTGTACCTTGTGAATGTTGTAGTGGATAGTAGAGGTGTCTTCTTCGTCCATGAAAGTCTGCTGCAGTGCCACTCGGTGAAGAATTCTTCGATGCAATTGAAAAGGGCGTCATGTATCTTCTCGGCCGCGTACATAAGGCAAGTTTTGCGTGACGTGTCCTCCGTCTGGTATAACATTGGGTCCATGATGGTTATAACATGGGCCATCACGTCCCAATTGAAGCAGCACCACCCGTGTTGCATGACGGCTGGGATCGTAACCTATTTCAGTTGGTTAGAAAATTAGAAGATTGTCTATTTCCAGGCAGCAGTTTTCCTTGTATATTTGACAAATGTAAGCAACACAACTATTGAAAATGAAAAGTCAGTCCTCGGACATTACCATCCGACAGTTTGCGATGTTGCACCTCACTTCAGCTCCAGTGAATTATTTTTGTATTGACATGATTCTTGTGGTGTTCTCCCCTGCAATGGCATGACACTGGCGCGTCGCCCCGTAAAAAAGAATGAGTTTATTGTATGTCCACGAAGCTAGGCAAAATGTATGCCATGTACTATAAAATGATTCTGGTACCGCAAAATCGGGCTCGATAAGCAACCGGTATTGCTCGTCGGGGCTGCCACGGTGCGCATGTGACTCCATCTGGCCAATTCGACGAAAGATCAGGGACCCCAACTCGTGGTCAAGTTCGGAACCGTCGCATATTTGTGACTTGATGGCATTGCCGCTGACTGCAATGATCTGTGGGTCGGGGCGTGAGACCCAATCCCTGAAAAAAAAGTGGCAGTGGGGAAAGTTATTAGCTTTATCAACTGGAGGGGCAAGGCTCGTCGTGCATTCCGCCCTTGCTTATATTTGGTGGGGTAACTAGATGGTGCTTGTGGTTTACCTTGCTAGATCATAGGGTGTTCTTGACCGCATCCATTCTCTGATGGCTTTCAAGACCCCTGCGCCGTGTCTGCAAACCATCCTGTTACTGGACCATGGGTCTTTTGTGAACCGGGTGTGAGCAACTTTGATCTTTGTTACAGCCGCGACATTAACTTGACCAAAGACAATGTGCCCCTCGGTGTCTCCAATCTCATCGTTCAGCATCATGAGCTGCCCTACTAGTTGGTCTGAGTACGTCTTTGTCGCCAAGGTAGGTGAAATTGCAGTTGCCTTACCATAGTTCTTGATAGGCGTACTGGCTTCGTTGTGGCCATCGATGTCCAGTTCAAATGGTGGTGCGTCTGTGAGTGTTGTTTATTTAATTTCAGCAGTGTGCTTGCATTTGTTTAACCTGTGAGTGTGCAAATAACAGAAAATGGCATTCAGAAAATAGATACCAATTACCTGGCGCGCTGTCTGTCGTTGGCCGTTTTTCCCCCTGGTGGGTGTTGTAGACAATTGGTCGGCGGTGGGCAAGACCACTGGTTTGGCATATTTAACGGGAGTTGGGGATGGAGATGACAACTCCAGTCTTCTTCCCACTATGTGCTTGGCAAGTCTGCTCGGTGCTTCTACATTGTGTTGGCCTGCGTAAAAAAATTTGTAACTTCTAACAAGTATGCACAAAATGGTTTGCTCTGTTTTTCAAGACAAGGTCCATAGTACCTGAGCCGTCGACACCTTTCGTTGTTCCGGCAGCGCGATAAGAAGCATTGGGTGCGGGTGTTCCCGTGTTGGGTCTGTTGGAATAAACTTGGAGCAGTTTTTTTGTGAATCGAATGTTCTCACGTGCAATGTTCCTTTTCATTTCGTTTGCGATATGCACACATTTGGCATTGTGCTGTTTCAGTGCCCATCCTAATGGAGAAGCGGCCTGCAATGTAGATAGACTCTAGGTTATTATGGGAGATTAATTCGCAACCCGATATCAGTCTCCCAACAGACCAAAAAATTGATTTGATGTGTGGTTGGACTGTGTTTTTTGTCTCACCAACTCTGGGTTTTGCATCTGGATCCACCGAGCGTAGTCGCCGGGGCTGAATTCGACGTTGCTTCCATGTGTCTGTGCAAGGTTACTTATGGCTGTGTCAGTGTTGATGTAGTCTCCCTGTCGAATGTTGTCTGCGTTGTGTATGACAAGTGCGTACTTGTTTGCCGATCCTTCAGCCTTGTGGTCCATTGATTTCTTCTTGGCATGCTTCTCGTTTATGTAGTTGTGCCATGTGTAGCACATGGCATTCCAACGTCTTGCCTGCATTGGCAAAACTGAATGTTTAGTTCGTGCCGTGAACCTGTCGTTGTAGTTAAACATACAGCGCGGTTACCTCAGGGGCTATGAAGATGGTTTTGCCTAGCTTCCTTGCTGAGCACACGAGGATCATCCGTTTCAGTGTCTCCCCGTCGAATAAATGTATTCGTGGAATTGTTGTTTGCTTTAAGTTCATGATGCCAAGTTCAACATTGTCTAGTACGAACACCTGTCGACAGTGAAAATCCATATGGAAAATGTTAGTGAATAGCTTCGAAAAAGACCAACAAAAACACAAGTTTAACTCCGTTTCCAGCATTGTCTAGTTCTGCATTTTAATTGCTATATCAAAATTACACAAAGTGTTTTTCGAGGGCTGTACCTGCAGGAAGAGGTGACACCCATAGAGGTGGTTGGGTGTTATGTTTGCATCAATTTCTAACTTTAGTTTGCGGACTGCTTCAAGTAAAAAATTGACTGAATATTTGCACCAATTGAAGAGGGCGATGTTTTCTGCATCCTTGATGGCGCCCCAGTAGTCGATGGTTGAGTGATCATGCCTGGTGCACGGCGCGAACAGATTTCCCATCACAAAGACAACAAACGCCATCTTGAAGGAATCCTTCTCCAATCGGCTGGACAGTTCATTTATTTCCTTGCCGATGAACACTTCAAGCGAGCTTAAGCTGCGATCAGATTTATCAGTCCACCCTATAGAGTTCCTAATGACCTCGATTGCTTCAGGTGTGGTGTCTGCATCTTTTCCATGGATGTCTCGCTGCCCGCATGGGATGCCAAACACTTTGTGAAAATCCTCTGGATAGAATGGAATTGGAGTTCCGCCATCTCACAGGATGATGCAGTGCTCTTCCACATCCACCTTTGTCATGAGGAACTTGCTAAACTTCAGATTGATTTTCTGGATCATGGGAATACGCAGTACACCCTCAAATCCAATCTCCTCAACTAGGAATCTTTTGTAATCTGACAGTCCGGCTACCACCTCTATTACTTTCTGAATAGCTATCCTAGGTGTGTGTTTAGTTGAACTGCTTGTTGATCCCGACGGAGCTGCTGCTTCTCCTTCTCCTACCAGCTGCTCTCCATCTCTTTCCATGGTGGGCGGGGTCTGTATCTCCCGCCTGAGATGTTGTTCTTCTTCTTCCATCTAGCTGTGGGAAAACCTGCAGGGGGGCGGGGGGCAGGGGGGATGTTTCAGCAAAAATTTGATTGAGACGCCGCCGGCATGAGAGCTGTGGTTCAGATCTCACCTCGCTGCGCGGCGAATACCGGCCTGCTCCGTCGTCTGAAGGCACCGACGAGATCCTCGATTGCTCTGTTCTAGTGATGGAGACTGCCGTCGATCTGCAGTGTATGTGCGCATGCGAGGGGTGGCCCAGCGTGTGGGTACAGAGTTTTGATTATTTACGGCAGGGCGTGGGTGGGGGTGGATTGAGTTCGACCGCTCAAGCAGCTGACCCCACGTACGACCTGTTGGGTCTGTTTTTTGACCGTGCGGTCGTTGCAATTTATGTCTCGTCTAGGGTGGGAGCGCGGTACACGTCCCCCCGTGTTTACTTTACCTGCTTGATGAATTCTAATTAACTACAAGGTTACACATACACGTCCCCCCCGAGTTTACTTTACCTGCTTGATGAATTCTAATTAACGAACAAGATTACACATGGGCGGACTGCCCCGCGCTCTGGAAAACATAAGTGCTACAGGTAATAATTTAAACTGTAGCGGCAGG